TTGTTACTACTAGTAAGGCACCTGTTACTACTAGTAAGGCACTTGTTGCCCAAGGATTGGACGATCTACTTTGGGATCACGAAATTCGCCAATCCTTATTGTCTGTAGCTCGATCGACTTTTCCAGCTTTGCCCTGCCTTGCTTCGTCCGACATTGGATAACCACGAGCCTGCGCAGATTATCAACAGCTGCAGCTTCGAATGTGAGTGAAACATAGTATAGTGGCACAAGTAGTTCCCGTCTGAATTTGCAAATTGCCGGCATTCAAGCCTTCTTCCATCTCATTCGGCATGCCTCTGGCAGCGCCTCTTTGTCAGGTGCGTTATCCATCTGCACAAACGAGAGACAGTCCAAAAGAAGCTGACTGGACAATTGTCTGATGACTGAGCGGACTGCACATGTGCAAATCAGGTGATCCAATGCTTCACTCTGTTTTACCATCTTGCTCCATCTAGCATCATTTGTCATTTGTCACATCTTTTCATTGATCTCAAACAGCTGAAAACATGAAACTTGCTCAATCTTGCCCTCTTGGCCACTGTGCGCAATCTCTTTTGAAATAAGACACCATAAAAGAAAACACACAAGAAAAATGAAGAACAAAAAACAAGGAAGAAAGGTCTAAAGGGAAAAGAAGAGAACACAGATTCTTATTCGTTTGTGTTTTCTTGTTCTCTTTGGCCACTGTGGTCAATCTCTTTTTGCCGCAGCTTGAGATGCTTTCCGCCTTGAGACCTGCCGCAGAAATAAGGAGTTCACCCCTCCAACGAAAGGTCCGGCGCTTCTTTGCTAGGCGTCAGTGAAACTTAGCCGTGCAAGTGGCAACTTCGAGCAAAAACAAACGAGAAAAGTCTCCAGAGATGGACAGACTTAAAACATCTTAAAACTATGTCAACAAATTCAACGAAATACGTTCCTGCTTTGCATCGTGTTTTGCGTTCGCTGCCATGGCAGGTCTGGTGCGGGGCATATCTTTGACAGCCCCAGTGGCAAGCCTCGGCGGTCTTCACGAACCACCCTGGCCTGAGCCTCTTTGCGTCTTCGCTTTGTGATTCTGAAGGTAGATCTGAAGCACTATGGCAACGAAGCGTTAAAAGAATTTCATGACTTTGTCACACTATGGCATCATCATGTTAGTTTATATTAATTACACTATCCCCTGTATAGGTTCCACTCTTCTTTGGTCAATGTGCGCTTCTGGCCAAGCTGAGCTTCTGGAAGCATGCCCGTTGCTGCAGTGCTCATGGTTTGCCAAGGCCTGCAATACCTCTGGTGGCGCAGTGGCCAGGATACAAAGCACGCAAATGCATCAAAATCCTGTCTAGAAAGACCCGCGAAATCTTGTGATTATTGGCAATCTGACTTCCCAAAGAAGCCCGCCTCAAACCCAGCAGCAGCCACAATATTCCGTTTGAGTGCGGTACCAAATGTGGTTGTATCCTTGGGCAAAAACTGCCAGCAACAAAAACAAGTAAGTCCCAACCAGGTGTGATGCCTGTCTCTCATTATTCCAAGAGGCGTTTGTCCCTCTCATGCTCCAGATCCACCGTGGTGGAATGCCGCTGTGAGTAGTCGTAAAAGGGTCCTACATATTCCCTCTCGTTGATGGTCACACTCCTTGGGCGAACGGCGAACGGTCTGAACTATGTAATTATATGGAAAACAATTAAGGCTCTTTTCAATAAGAAAGAAAGGCCCAAAACCTGGTCGAAAAACAAGTAGAAAAAGAAAGGAAAGAATAACTGAAAGCAAAACGTCAGAAAAGAGAGAAAAAGGAAGAAACGGGAAGAAAGATAAAGAAGACATGGTCTACAAAGAAGCTACGCAAAACGGCCTGGCTCAGCAGAGTGGCTTCACGAAAGTCTTTGGCCTTCCCGAACAGCTGAAGCACCCATCCGATTTCATCTTGGCCTCCTGGGGGACAGGCTACGGTAGCCTGGCTACCGCTACTGGTAGCATGTGGCAGCTAATGCTCAACACGATCCAAGAGTGGCGTGCCAGCAATTGGTGTAAAAACCGGCGCAGCTGAATGCAGTCAAAAACTGAAAGGATTTGAAAACCGCGCGGCTTTTGGGGGCCTTGAAAGATGCTCCAACTTGCATTCCGATATCCTTGGCGGTATCCTGAGCGAGACACAAAGACACAGAATTCGAGACGAGTCAGGTCGGGTAGCTCTATCCACAAGCACCACCGGGTCACCACCAAACAGAACGAGTCTTTCTTAAGATGGAGGCCATCGCTCTTAGGGCGGAGGACATCGCTATGAGGGACTGTTCGGTTGGGATAACATGAGAAGCTGCTCGGTGAGGCGGCGACGGGCCAGAGTCGATCTAAAAGGAAATTGTCAATATCCTTAAGCAAAAAAGAGACCACAATCATTGGTTTGTATAGCGGTATCAGGCGATTGCACTTTACTTTTAATAGAAATTTCAACATTGAGTCCTCATAGGCATGTGACAGCATGATTGGAAGTATATTGGATGTGACTAGTGGAAAGGTGAACTAAGTTGACCGGAGCACTATAGCGCCATTCTGGGCAACCACTTAGCGGCTTGGTAATTTCTTCCAATTCGCAAACCTGTTTGCTCAAAGGAGCTGTAAATTATTAAGGGAATGCTGTGCGACTGCCCAAGCTTTCCCACAGTACTCGAATTATGTGGACCATCACAGGAAGTATGCGAAGAAGTGTAAACTATGTTCTTTACAAGAAAAGTCTTGGCCTTGTCACTGAGAGGGTGAATGTGGCGTACCATGTAGCCAAATAGCATTTCTTAATAAAGCAATATCGGGTAGAGGAAACCACAAAGAGGAGCTGTTAAAGGCGTGAACTACTACAGTAAGGGCATCGCAACTAGGAGCAAGGACGCTACTAGTAGCTCCTAGCATTGCCACTAGTAACAAGGGCATCGCTACTAGTAACAAAGGGCATTACTTATGTTGGAATCATACGATCATCGCTTCCGGTGCAAATTTAGGGCACCCAGAAGGGGCGACGCTCTTGTACATTAGGCATTGCGCAATACAGACTGCTAGCTCAAAAAGGAGGTTACCCGGAGGTTCGTCTATACCTCTTTCTTTCTTTCTCTGTTTTGTACCAAGCCCTTTGTTTCTTTAGACTAAACACTTCTTTGGGGTTTGAACATTGTTGCGACCCATCCCATGCACACAATCCCGGCTTCGACCATCACAAGATATCTCTGCCCAATTCTATGAAGTGCCCAAGATATCTCTTCTCTTTCAATTTATTGGCCATATCTCAAGCTATTAGGTTGGAGGCCAAGCTGCTGAAAGTTGCCCGGGAGGGCCGCCTGGAGCTGACGAAGACGAGCCCATGGTGCTAGACAGGTGCCAGCTAGGCGACGGCTGCTCTCTTGACTTCAAAACGGCAACGTGGCACACCCATGAGCCGCCTGACGGATGTTGTTGATTGTTTCTTGCTTTGACTTGGCAGCACCTTGTTATATCATGTTATATCAAATATCAGGATGGCAGGCCCAAGCATCAAACATATTCCCTTTGTATCGCACACCAGCAAGGTGGTAGCTTGTGCCACTGCTAAATTCCCTGCCTTTTCAACACTTGGCGCTTCTGTCGGCACAGAGCCTTGTGGCCAGCTATGGACGAAAGTGTGGCTGTTGCCGTTGCCTCTGTGAAACCACTCTCGATCAGGCAAGTGGTGCCGTGGACGTGCACACATGATATGCTGAACTCAGAAGAGCACACGACCTTGAGATCTCGAGTCGGACGCTGGCGATGTTGGAACTGGAAATGTTCTCTTCGCATCCCTCCAGGATCAAGCCGACAAGACTTATCTTCTTCGCATTTCAGGACTGATCAATGTTAATCTCTTCGCTTCTCCGCCAATCGCCAACATGACAAAGTTGATGCTTCCATGTCCCACATATTATGTTCGAGGACTGCTCGTGATGCTCCCAAGACCTTCAAACACAGCTGAAATCACCTGCAACTACACCCCTCGAAATACCGATGATTTGAATTGATATGATACATTAGTTAAATTGATTAAAATCTGTTTCTTGACTCTGATCATACTTGAAGCTTTCCGGCAACGTCAAGTCATGGCTTACTTTCAAGTAGAAAAGAAGCAGAAGAATAATGAGAAGAAGGAGGAAGAAAAAAACCTTCAAAAAAGGAAGAGGTTCGACTTTTATGTCCTTCTACAAACATGTTTAAAAACAACATGCACATGGGATGCGAGAGTAGCCGGGAGAGATAGGTGGGCTGCCAAAACTTGCTGCTAGAAAAAATAGTTTAAATTGCGTTGTTCTCTTATTCAATCTCTTCTTTTGAACTCAACACCGTTCATTTATAGATGTCTTGTTTCATCATTTGTCCTTTTCTTCTTGCTCCTTGAAGATTGACTTACCTTGTACTTTCGCTATGAACGAGTTCTCCGCCTGCGGCTTGAGCATCTGGCAGAAAGTGCTCAGAGCGGAAGGCCACCAGTGACTGCCCCAGGAAGCATGCACCTCGCAGCTGAGCAGGAGTGGATACTGTTAAACACAAAGAGCGAGGACCTTTTCTTCTTTTTTGGCCGACCTCCCCCCCCGCCCTACTTAATCAAGTAAGGGAGTAAGCTACTAGGTTACTAGGCTAAGCTTCTAGGATCTTCTAGGTAGACGCAGGGTAGCTCACGCTAATGGTTTGGTTCCTAGATTGTTTGGGACCTTGAGCACCTTGCTGCTGTTGAAAGTCATACTGAGCTGCTCACTCTTTGTGTTCACAGCTGCTCGCTCTGTTTCTGCCGCTGAAAGCTTGAGTGGGGGTCCGCAAAAAGGAATAACGCTTGAGAGTAGGTTAGTGCAGGAAGCAAGGAAGGAAGCTTCTCGCAGCTAGTGTTCTTTTAGAAACGTGGTATTAATTCTTGTTCAGCGACCAGCTACTTCCCTGATTAAAAAAAACAAATGCAAAATTCTCAACTATGTCAAAGCGACCAGGCAAGCGCCAGTTCTCTCGGCTGAAGTTGTAGGCTGATTCACCTGGGTCTTCGCTCACATGTTGCGACACCATCTCAAAACTCTCAAAACGAACAGAACAAGGTCAAAACGCGCCTCCGAGCATCCGCATGTGCAATGGTAGTTTCCAAGCAGAAGCCATTGGTCTGAGACAAGCAAGCTCAGATCTTTAAGATTTCACTACCCACAATGTGTATGTTGTTTTCTGTCCGAGCGCGCAAAAGCGCCTGCACATCATCTGCAACGCTTTGTTCACGCGGCGTTGAGCTGAGCAAGCACGACGAGTAACCTTGATAAACATATGTTTTATCAAATAAACCACAGCACGACAATACTAGGGGCTCCTGGCCTTACTACTAGGAGCAAGGACGCTACTAGGGGCTCCTGGCCCTACTACTAGGAGCAAGGAAGCTACCACAGCAGTAGGGTCTCAAAGTGAGGTTCTTGGGTCGGTGCTAGCTGAGAGAGCGCCCACATCTGCTCACCTTGATCGGCTGCAAGGATCAACACTCAAACCCTCAAAAAAACCTGCGCACATCAAGGTCACGTGCCACCAAAACCTTTCTCTGCATTTCCCCTTGCTGCGGCTGATCAGTGTGATGAGAAGCTTTATTTGGGTCAGTCTAGAACATGTCTGATTCACCCCTTCTTTTGCAAGAAATATGGCTGTAAATTGGAGTCTAAAGTATGCTACAATTGAAATCCGGGCTGTCTATTCACTATTCCATATCAAAGGGAATGTTTTACACGCTTGCGTTGTTCCCAAAATAGAGTCTAAGTAGTTTATGTTCTGAGGAGTGCAGTCTAGAGTCTGGATTATTGGTTTATAAAATTATCAACACACTTACTACTCTAGTATGTGCCTGAAATGTTTCTGAGCTCCAGTACGCGACGCAATGTTTCCAATGGACATTGATGTTGCCACTGACCTCGTATTGGGCACAACCCCACGGAGAATCTGTGATACTTAATGTTTCCTTAAACGTCTAGGTTGGAGGCCATCGCTATTAGGTAAAAGCGTACCATCATGATCATTTAACTCCTTAGGCAGGTTCACCCACTCTTATCAACACTCCAGGAAACTGCTCAACTGTCATCATCGGACGCATCTAGCGCTTGTATCTTGCTTTGATCGTTGTCCTCTGGGCATCCCACGGAGGATGTGATCGCCGGTACGTGGAATACGGCAAGTAAGACAGTGCATGAGGAACCTCCGACGTGATTGACCATGGGACATTAGGTGCACAAGATGCAACTTCTTGAGCTAAGATAATTTAAAAGAAAAATGAAGCTACTAGGAGCAAAGGGCATCGCTACTAGGAGCAAGGACGCCACTAGGGGCTCCTGGCCTTGCTACTAGTAACAAGAAGCTATTAGGAACAAGAATTAGAATTGGAATTAAACTTTAATGAAGGAAGTGTGCGAAAAGTCCCAATGAACAAACACACGTTTGAAAGCAAACAATCCAACATAGCTGGGAGGCCATGGAAGGTGTGTGCAAGAGCACCACACCGCAAAAACGCAAAGCTCGGAAGATGTCCACTGCAATGGCATTGTGCCACATCAAAGCAAGTCGATCCTCTTCTTTCTCCCAATCGTTGGCATGAGCTTCTGGATCCAATTTGATGGGATGCTGTAGTGGTCGACAACGGAGAATCCGCTGGAGTGCCACTCCATTGAGCCAAAGACCAGCTGCTTGTTCCACGTTGAGATCAAAGTATTCATAAGCTAAAGCCAGTGGAGGTGGGCGTTCGGCACCCAAATCCACAGGCCCTCGAACATCTTCCAAGTAAACAGATCTTGTAGACACATCGTGGTAGAGATTGGAAAGGCCACGTAGAATCCGAAGAGATTCAAAGACATTTAGAAAGGTGGAGGATGGAGAAAAGTCCACGAAGATCCATCGCCTCCCAGGAGATCTCCACTTCAAGGCCTTCAACTTTTTACCAAAACTCTTCAACTCTTCCAGCCAGGACTTGGTAGACGAGTGTCTTCTGGTGTCCTCAGACTCCTTTTCCTCAGGCCTTCTGTTCGCTTCCAAAGCTTCAAAAGATTCTTTCACCTTCAACGCATCAACTTCAGCATTGGCTGCCAAAGCTTCATAGCCTGTGGCCTCCACTTGAAGACGGGATAGCCGTGGCACCGTTGAGCGCCAAGATGCCTTCCAGCTCACTGTTTCTTTCCTTTCAGACAAACTCTTGTGACTCCGCTTTGCTTCACCCAAGCTTTTGCATTGGGGACTTTCGCCGTCGAACATCTCAAAGCTTTCGCTCTCCAATGTGCAATCCTTCAAATGCCTGAGCTGCTCCATCCATTCCGGCCAACGTGCCGCCCTCAAGGCGGGCTCTGCTAGCAAAGGAACACTTCGATCCTTGTGGTATCCGGCCACCGGGAGACCTCCTCCAAAGAAGAAAAAATCCAAGTGGAGGTTTGATGTTGTTGGATTTTCCGTTGGAACTCTTGGTGCATGGCCACGACAGGCACTTACAGCATCCTCAAAGGCTTCTACTGACCAAAAGAAACGTCTTGAATCCAATGGTTCGCTGTCATCACCGCTGCGAGCTGCCAATAAGCAACGGCGTTGAAGCAATGCTCGAACTTGACCCTTGAGCATGTCAAGAGTGCCAACAAGCTCTATGAAGCTTTGAAATCCTATGAGTCTGTGTACAGCGATGCCTTTTTGGATGTCCAACAAGTTCTCCCCTGTCCGCATGGCCCTATTCACATCTGGGGCACAATGCATACCTGGATGGTGCACCACGGGTACACTTTGAGAATGAGCACAAAAGCCCAGGGTCAAGTCATTGAAGGCCAGCAAAGGACAATCAGCTAAGAGTCTGGGTGCCAAAACATCATAGGCAGCAAAGGAAAGCAACATTCCAGCTCCGCCACATGGATAGTCATAGCCCAAGACATGTGCATCGCTCAAAATATATCCAAACAAGGCAGGAACTTCGGGATCATGGCCAGCAATGAAGTCCAGAAGTGCATCTACGTGGATAAAAGTATCATCATCTGCAAGCACGACCCAGTTCGGGACAGGGAAGCCCAAGCTCTTCACCTAAGTGGACAAACCGTCGACTGTGGCTATGACAGACCTTAAGTCTCAATTAAGGCTTAAGTCTGTTTGAGTCATGTACTGTTTCTACTCCTTCCAAGAAAACAGAACCTAAGAGTGATGGCCTCCAACCTAGAAGCGATGGCCTCTCCAACCTAAAAGACTTCCTTTAGTTTCCTCTCACTTGGAACAAAAAAATACAAAACATGTTGTATTGAGCGTCACTCTGGAACAAACTGGAACAACCTGGAACCTGCTCTCGTCAAGCAATGTCTAAACAGCGACGTGCCAAAGTTGCATTTGGATGTTTTTGCATGAACTCCAATTGGCGACTTTGAGCATCCCAATAATTACCTTGAAACGAGCGAAATTGCAGAATGCACTGTACTCATTGGATTCTGTTCACAGTAGACTCAAATCTCTGACTGCTGACCGGGGAACTCTCCATTCCAAAGCTACCTGCGGAATTGGAAGATGGGGTTTGAGGGCGCCATTGCCTGAAAAAACAAGGAGATAAAGAGCTGCCATGGCCTTACCCATTCGCGGCAACCTACGACAATCCTATGAGACTTATGAGGACCTCTCTTGCGGAGCTGTGGACAACCAATCATCCACCAGGTACAGTCGCTGCATATCCACATCTGACCTCGACAAAATCAAGTTTGCCACCCGAATTCTGTGACGATCTACTGAGAAGCAGGCCAAGTGTGCTCCAGGAGTGCCACCCTCTCCTGCCTAAATGATTGAGACTCCATGTTTTCCTGTCCTTGATTGCTTCAATGCTCAGATTCTGGCAAGGAGTGGCTGGCCATAACTAAAACCAAAACCTGCAATGCTTCTGCAGGAAACAGCAAATTGTATCTGTGTCAACATAGCCTCGCTTGCAGCAGGACGGCGCCACTTCGTAAAGCCCTCAGTACAAGTGTTCTGAGTTTGCCTATACACTGCTTAACAACCTGCTGGTTCAGAAGCTACTAGGAACAAGTGCCACGCTAGTAGTAACAGGTGCCTTACTAGTAGTAACAAGAAGCTAGTAGAAACAAGTGCCACGCTAGTAGTAATAGGTGCCTTACTAGTAGTAACAAGAAGCTAGTAGAAACAAGTGCCACGCTAGTAGTAATAGGTGCCTTACTAGTAGTAACAAGAAGCTAGTACTAACAAGTGCCACGCTAGTAGTAACAGGTGCCTTACTAGTAGTAACA